AAGCCTACCAGTTACTAACACTGGATGATTCCTCAAAAAAAAATAAGGTTTTAAATCCATTGGTGGAAAAAAACTTTTATAGAAAGGACTTTTAATTTGCTGATAGTCTTATTCTTATATTATTCAACTATTGATCAGTGAACCAAAACTGATATATTGCAATATACACAAAAATATAATATTTTTTTAAATCCAAATTGATCCTAAAAATATTAATGTAAAAAAAAATAATAATAAACACGTATATACATAAGTCAAATTTTAAAGGTTTAAGCTATCCTTAGTCAAATTACAGTTTAATTAATAAGACTATAACACATAAGCCTATCTGAACTATCAGAATTTCACTGGACTGTACAGTTTGTCTATTTAACTCCCCCTGCTGTTGAGAAACAAAAGGGTCTGGCTGCAGCCTTGCGCTTGCACTCTCTTGTACCCTTACGTTATAGTATAAAATTAGTTTTAATCGTTTAATCACCACCACAGCGTCTTGTCTCCATTGGCAACACGCACAATTTGTGTCGATTGCAAGTGACGTCGCAGGTATCGGAGAGTGCAAGTGGCGATTGCAAGTGACATTGTAAGTTAGTTTCTTTTTTACTGTCTTCACCACCTGGCTACTGTTGTAAAATGTTGAGAGATTCAAACAAAAAGTAATCAATAAATAGAACAAAATAAAAAATAAAAAAGACTGCAAGTGACGTCGCTAGCGGAAGCGCAAGTGTCTGAGAGTGCAAGTCTGAGAATGCAAGCCTGAGAGTGCAAGCGCAAGGCTGCAGCCAGACCCTTCTCACAAATTTAATTTAGCCTACCTTGGCCGCAATTTTTGGCGGAAGCAAACTGCGTTGCGTCACTTGAATATCTATATTGGTCAGTTCTGAGAGGAGCTGTTTATGCTGTCATTCGCATGAAAGAAAAATAAAATACCCGCATAGCCCGTTTAGCTTTATCTCCTTTTGAACTACATTTTTGACCTGACTCTGAGGTTATAGATTTTGTAGTAAGACCAATAAGCTAAAATGATCAATTCCACAGTAACCTGAATTAATGCATGCAAAATAGATGTAGCTTTACTTTTTATATTTTTGAACCTCTTGTTCTTGTTGAACCTTTTGTTGTGCCTTGTTTTGGGACTTTGTATATGCTACAAATAACTAATAAAACATAGGCTAAGTATCTTGGCTAAACAATTTACCTTTTGGAAAAATAATGACCTTAATACAGGTACAGTACAACAAAGCTTTCTTTACCAAAACCAACCAAATAAAGGAAACTTTAGACCACATGACAGGAAGATGTGGCAAAAGCTGTCAAGTTGCATGCAATGTGCACAAAGCTTCACCCCGACATTCAATCTATAACCCTTACAAGATCGATCTTCTGTCTTGCAAAGAAAGGCCTGTTGCATGTGGAGTCTTCTACAGATCAGTTAAGATGACCAAATTATCATACATCACTTGCATTATACTTAACCTGTGTGAGTATGTATTTAAGATTTTTCTTTAATCCTTTGGCAAATTAAGTACTTTCTGACACAAACAATTCATAAAAACACTCGGCAGTGTTACTCAATATGTACTGTACACAGTCTGATTTTGCAGGTGGTTATAATTTAATTTTTAATTTTTAATGTTTAGGTAGGCTGTTGGGCATTTTTTTTGCATGTCAGCAGTGAGAGTTCGACCTGGACACTCCACAGCAGTGCTTCACACCATACGATGGGCACTTTAAAGTGTTCTGGCTAAAATTTCAAAACAATTCTGCTCCAGACTTTGTGGCTTTGGCTGAATACAAAACTGGCATAATGATTGGAGAGAAATTTCAGGATCTTTCAAAGTTTAGATTAACATGGAACCAGCTCAGCAAACATCGAGCAAACAGACATCGCTGTGTACTACTGTGGGATGATTATTTATTGTTATTTTTTTTTTATTTTTGCAAATGGAACAAGACTGATGTTTGAAGAGATTTTCAGATTGACTATCCATTGGTCCAATGGCATGGGTGAAGGTATTCTGCTGCCCTACAAGCAGAATTTCTGCGTGTAACGTTAGGTCTGCACTTCTTTAAAGTTGCTCCAATTCAACAGTGGGCAAACGACTTATGTAGGTACAGATCAGTAATATTTATTCTATGTCTTGCAATAGAAAAATTAAAATGATTCATTGTAAGATTATTTTTTTTTAAAAAGCATATCAAGGAACACAATATTAAACGGGACATAACACACACAGTTTCGGCCAATCTCATGTTAATCTTGAGTAGCTATATAGTAGTATTACATTCTTCATATCTCCGAAGAGTCTTTAGTTTTGTCAGATTTATAAAAGAAAAATACAACTTTACGCTTCACTCCGAAAACAGCCGAGATCCTGGAGGCGTGCCAAAGAGGAGCTAAAGAGTCGCGAGCGCTTATCAACAAAACAAAGAAATTTGATGCAGTTTTACTCACCGCCTCATGACCGGGATATTTAATCGCTGGGACCGCTCCATCTTTCAGTATCAAACAATGTGCAAATCCAGTGTCGAACTGGGCCTTGTTTATAAAACATTCGTCACCGAAATGACGAGAACAAACAAACACACGTGCCAAACTCCGTTGTCCCGGAGAAACAAACTGCATCCACTGTTCACGTAATGCTGGGTTCTTTGGGAAGCTGAACAAGGTTATCTTTCCCTCACAACCAAAAATACACTTCTTTGGAGACATTCCCAAATGGCAATGGCCGCCGCGTGCACGTGTCCGTTAAGTCCACGAGACCGTAGGGCAGGGTTCCTCAAATCTTGCCCTGGAGGGCCAATGCGCTGCAGAGTTTAGCCCTGATCAAACTCACATACCTGTGATTTTCTAATGATCATTGATTAGCATGCTCAGGTGTGTTTGATTAGGGTTAGAGCTAAACTCTACAGGAAAATGGATCCCGTGGGCCAGATTTGATGATTCCTGCCGTAGAATGTCCCATTCATCATTTTAGCTTTCAGAAGGGTGCTCACGAGCGCCCTCAATGCGCACTTCTGCTGAGCCTGCACTTGGGCGAGCTCCGCGGCAGACTTCTACCCGACAGTCAAAGCGGCATTACGTCACGAAAGTGTGGACTCAGAGGAAGACCGCGAGGGTTTAGGGTGCGACTGTGCAGCTGCCGAAAGAAGCACGTTGATGGGAGTGCTCTTGCTCGCACTCTGTTTGCTGTGTGCGTGCGCTCTTCCAGGAGAAGGGCCCATACAAGGAATTCCGCCCTTCATGACATCATGAAGGGCCATGCTTGAAAAAACTTTCCGAAACTAAGGAGTGTATTTGGCACAGAAATACTCCGTCATACGTCCAAATCGTTATTTTGTAACTTTGGCCATGTTTAGCATGAGAATCCAACTCTTTAACAGTGTAAATAACTTTTTCAAAAGCATGAAATGGCTTTAGACCACCCGTTTTTAACCATCAGCTAAACATCCACATACATCTTTTAGCTATCAACAGTGTGTCTGAAATGGTAAATGTTGGTCCTTTAGTGGTGCAAAGCATCTGCACATGTTTTAGAAGCATTATGCATTAGCATTTGTGATTTCAAGACTTCATGTCATCACCCCCTATTCTAAGACTACCCACCATCCAGCCAAGTGTTTTTGTAGACAAAAGAAGGGTGCTGGCTATGATTTTGAAAACTACTAGAGGGCTGTAGTGAGGGATGGTAATTACTCAAATTTGCTAATTATATATTTTAACTTTAAACTGCTTATGAGAAGGATTTAATACAGTGTAAAATAATAAACATATACTTCATACATTGCCACAGCCATATCACTCTGCAGCCCAAGACTGGTTGCCCACTGAAGCTAAGCAGGGTTGAGCCTGGTCAGTGCCTGGATGGGAGACCTCCTGGGAAAACTACGTTGCTGTTGGAAGAGGTGTTAGTGAGGCCAGCAGGGGGTGCTCACCCTGTGGTCTGCGTGGGTCCTAACGCCCCAGTATAGTGATGGGGACACTATACTGTCAAAAAGCACCGTCTTTCGGATGAGACGTTAAACCGAGGTCCTGACTCTCTGTGGTCATTCAAAATCCCATGACACTTCTCATAAAGAGTAGGGGTGTAACCCTGGTGTCCTGGCCTTTGTCAATCATGCCCCCCTAATAATGCCCAACCAATTGATTGGCTCTATGACTCTCTCTCCTCTCCACCTGTAGCTGGTGTGTGGTGAGCGCAATGGCACCTTTGTCCTGTGGCTGCCGTCGCATCATCCAAGTGGATGCTGCACACTGGTGGTGGTTCAGGAGAGACCCCCCCACATGATTGTAAAGCGCTTTGGGTGTACAACAATACACAATACAGCGCTATATAAATGCACCATTCATTCATTCATTCATTCATACTTAATTTGACCTGCAAAGTGCATTAGCAAGCCTACTGAACAGGCTTTGGATAGGTCCAATGCCCATCACTAAGTGTAACATCATATCTAGTCCAGCAGATGTGCAACCTGTTTTAGAAAATACACAGTAGGTTTATCTAAACAAATATGTAAAAAATCTCATTTAGATGCAATACAAAAAATAAATAAATTAATTTAAAAAAAAGTTTAGAAAATACACAGTAGGTTTATCTAAACAAATATGTAAAAAACTCATTTAGATGCAATACAAAAAATAAATAAATTAATTAAAAAAAAATATTACAATAATGGGCTTAAATTACATATTGCCAAGTATGTATTGTAGATATCCACTGGTATGTCTAAATAAATATACCAGAAAAAACTCCTCGTCCCCTTCCAAATGTACAACAACAGCCTACTACACATCAATTTCACTTGCCCATTTATAAACACTGTACATGAGTACACACATACAAATAATGCAGGTTTATCACATGCAGGCCTGACCCTGACTGGCCTTTTCATTGATAGGTCTACCATAGTTTGGCTGTGCCAAAAGCCACTCCTCCTTATGCATGAAACACATTGATATCGCCCACTTAATTTCCTCTTCAGCTCTGTTTTGACTCAATGCAGAAATGTTACATATTTCAGCTGCAGCTTTATTGTTCTTTGGGACGGGTAAGAATTATTTTCCACTGTGAACTACAATACTATGATAAGAAACACTTTATAAATTTAAAATCAGGTGTTACTGAAAGAGCTAGACACTAATTTTAATTTAGCTATATTGTGTTTTAGTGTGCTATTGTTTTAGTTTTCTTGTTTAATGATTTTCAGGTTTTCTCCGAGTTATGTTTTCTACAGCAACCATTCAGACTCATCCAGGACAAAGTATCACTATGTGGTGTCCACACAATATCCATGTTACTGGAAATCTGTACTGGTTCAAACAATCAGACGGTGCTGTACCCGTTACTATTGTGCACATGTTATACACCGAAAGTCTTCAGAAGGTTGAGCCAAATTATTTCAACAGTTTCACAAATGATTGCATCGTCATGGATCAGTTCAGCAAAAGCACCACCCTAACAATTAAGCAAGTGAAAATTTCTGATTCTGGCTTCTACTTTTGTGGAGCTACAGGTTATCACATGAAATTTGGCACTGGAACCAGGCTTGAAGTAAAAGGTAATCTTTTTGAACCTCTCTCACTATACTCTAATTTTTATATACTGTGTATATCTCTTTTTTTCTCACTTTGTCATTAACAGCGCATGTTGAAAAACACCACAATTTAAATACTATTGTAAATGCCACAATGGTTAATGACTTGCCAACTGTTTTCATATCAGAGAAAAATTTCACAGGAACCTCAAAAATGGGTATGTTATTTTACTTTCAATATTAAAGTTAAAACTACAGGTGTTTAATATATGAATGTTCATGTTTAATCTCTCTAATCAAATTATGGGGAAAAATAATTATAAAATGTTATCTTTGTAGCATCGCTTAAAAGGTTTCATTCAAATTATATCCACTCTTTTACAGATCATGAGCAATCACCCGTGTCTACTGAGGAGTGTTCTAGAGACATCTATTTCAAACTGACCCTCCTATTTGGTGGAATAATTTTTTTTACATGTATCGTTCCTCTTATTTTGGCGATTATCAGGGAACACAGAAGACAGAAGCATAAAAAAGGTAAACTCTTTTCACATGGTTAAAAAGATCAAGTTAAATCACAAATGTGGAATGAACATTAAAAAATGGCTTTGGACATCATTTTTAAATCTCTCATTATCTTAAGAGCAACTGATTGTCTTTTTCTCTGCTTTGTGCCAGTCGCTGAATGTCAAGCACAACAGCATGATGACAAGGTAAATTACACAGACTTATTTTACTCCGAGGGCTAAGAAAAACTATTTAAAAACAATCCCAGTTTCACCATTGACATGAAAACAAGCAAAGCTTTGTTTTATACTAGATCACACTTTCTGTTTTTTTATTATAAATAACAAAATATTAATTACTTTATAAATTAATTACTGCTCTGCCTCTTCTATGAGTCATTAATTATTGCTATATGAATAATCATTTTAATTCTATTGGCTGTTAAGGACTTGAATAGTTGCATTTTCTACTTTTTGCTGTAGAATTTATTTTTGGAGGCTAAGGAAAAGGAAAACAGTATCAAAGGCTCTGGAATAAAAATAAAAGTTGTTATATGACCACCTGGATTAGAATCTTGACATATGCATGTTTGTACTTCTTTTCAGGAAAATTATTCAGTAGAATATGCTGCTGTGTATTTCTCAAACAAAAGACCCAAAACAGGAGGACGACATACTGAGGACCCAACTGCTGTGTATAGTATACTATAGTATAGTATAGTATAGTATAGTATAGTATAGTATAGTACTATAGTAAAAATAAACCAAAGGTAATAAATGAATAATATGTTTGAGTTTTATTTTTCAAGTATACTTGAAAAATAAAACTCAAACATATTATTCATTTATTACCTATGGTTTATTTTTAACAGCTAAATAGTATACCTGTTTAAAGAAATGTAATTATTGAGGCGATCAGAGAACTGTCTTTTCTTTGGATTGCTGTACATAATGGTGAAGTTTATTAAAATTGCGTTGCAGTTTACTTCGACTCCTGATATTAATTCAATCTGACTCCAGTTCACAAAGTAAAAATTAATTTGGCTGATTCCCTAAGGTTTCTATAGATATCGCGATATATCGATATTGTGAATTCTTTTGGACACAATAACCGTGGTGTGAAAAATCTAATATCGTGACAGCCCTACATTGCTTTATGGATATCATTTGTACAAATAACTGTGCAGTGATATAATTGTAAATAAAAAAAAAGCTAAACCTTTTTTTTTTTAGTGTCCATTTCAGTTGCCGCAGATGTTGATCACCATGAAACACAACAGCATGAGGTAACTTATCATTAAAATAAAAATATCCATTCTCTAAATGTGTAAAACGTAAATTTGAATCCATAACCAAAAAGTTTTTTTTTTTTTGGTAACACTTTACAATAAGGTCCCATTAGGTAATGTTAGATAATGTATTAACTAACATGAACAGGCCATGAACAATACATTTATTACAATATTTATTCATCTTTGTTAATGTTAGTTAATGAAAATACAATCGTTCATTGCTAGTTCATGTTAATTCACAGTGCATTAACTAATGCTAACAAGCACAACTTTTCTTGTTTTTGTTAACTTATTTTAACTTATTTTAATAATGCATTAGTTAATGTTGAAATTAACATTAACTAAGAATAATAAATGCTGTAGAAGTGTTGTTCATGCTTACTTCATGTTAACTAAAGTGGTTAACTAATGTTAACTAATAAACCTTATTGTAAAGTGTTACCTTTTTGTGTTTTTGTTTTTACTTAGTAGTCCTCTAAGATATGCAACATGTATAGTATGTATTGGGGGAAAAACTGGTAACACTTTACATTAAGATTCCCTTTATAAAGTGTTTATAAAGGTGTTCATAAATGACTAATAACTCATTTACAAATGCATTATAAATCATTGATAAGCAGTTACAAATGCATGAATAAAAATGGTGATTTTAATGCAATACCTGCCAAACAGTGAGCCATTTTTAACTCACATGTTATAAATGCCTAATAAATATATTTATTAATACTTATTTCACTCAAACCTAGATTCCGGATTTATTTCATGATGCAGCAAAAATTTATAGTGAGACTGAAGGGTGTTGCATTTATGGTTCTCTCATTTATATCTCATGACTCATGTCACTTTTTGTACAATGTTTCTTACCAGAATCTACTCTGTACCATGATACGCTGCAAAATTCATGATGCCTATCCACAGCAATGATTAGAAACTGATATATTTTGTTTATCAAGATGAAATTATCAAACTTTATTTTGGGGCGAAAAAAAAATCATAAAAGCACAACAATGGCTTGATGAAATCTCAATAATGAAAATTTTAATTCCAGTATTAGTTACCTCTGAACCTTAATGTAAATAATTTATGAATGAGTTATAAACATTAATAACCTGTGGAAGTGAACCATAATGTAAAGTGAACACCTGTGAACCATTTATTAATGAGTTATAAATGTTAAAAATGTCTAAAAGTGAACCTTATTGTAAAGTGAACAGCTTTGAACCATTTATTAATGAGTTAAAAAATGGCTCACTATTTGGCAGGTATTGCATTAAAATCACCCTTTTTATTCATGCATTTATAACTGTTTATCAATTATTTATAATGCATTTGTAAATGAGTTATTAGTCATTGATTCATTCATTCATTCATATGAACACCGTTATAAACACTTTATAAAGGGATGTAAAGTGTTAATGTAAAGTGTTACCAAAAATTATTGTACAGTTGAAATTAAAGACCAGGCTGACCAGTGTACAAAAAGATTTAAATATGCAAATCTCTGCTATTCAAAGGAGTTTTAATGAGAATAGTTATAAACCATAAAATAGCTTTTCTAATATCAGTGTTTTTAAATATTACTTTTACATCTAACATTCTTCAGGTGAAATATAGTGTTTCTTGAGATATATCTTGCATACAGCCTGAGGGCCTTTTCTGTTTAGCTCTAACCGTGTCTTTAAAAAGGGCTGCATGGTTGAAATAATTTTGAGAATGCAACTATTGAGCAGAATATCACTCTGTGTTAGGGAAATTTAATATTTAAATATTTAATTTAAAAACTATTTGAAATAGGAAATTTAATAATAATATTTACATTTAATATTACAATTTAAAAGGCAAACCAAAAATAATAATAATAATAATAATAATAATAATAATAATGAAGTAAAGCTTGGGTATAAAGTATCTTGCATTCTGTATGTGTGGGGTACAAGCAACAATATCAGCTAGAAAAATAAAATAAAATAAAATAAATCCACATTCCCTGACTATTTCCCAGCTGTCCCCAACATCAGAATTAGCAATAAATTAAAAATTCTAACACCATGTATTTGAATGCTAAGCATTATATATACACAAAATCCTTGTTTCTTGATTGTTTTGCTTATCTGATTTTCTTCTGTACATATTTGAATTTAAATTGTTTTTAAATGTAGGCCAAGTCATCTTTCAATCTGTTGCAGTAGCCTCATTCATCAGTCTATGCTGCTCTACAGCTCTCAAAACACAAATCCAGAAGAGCAGCCAGAAATACAGAGGATACATAGGTTGTGTATTCTGCTACTAGATAGTCCAACAATGGCACAAGGTCAAATATTGTAGCCTACTGTAGGGTAATAAGCCATATTTTCATAAAGACTCTAATATTGATACACCGTTACTAATGCCATAGATTTAAAGTGTATGTGAGCTCTGCAATGTTCAGTATTTTCGATGCAATAAAAGTTGTGAAGATCAAATGCATTTGAAAGTTCTAAGAAGTTTAATTTAGATCTATTTATATTTCCTGTCATTGAGATATAAGCAGGCCCTTTCTCAAGAGGCAGGGGTTGTGAATGATATCATTTCCTATACAGACCCTGACAGGAAGAAGCTGTTCAGTGTAGAAAGAGACGTGCTGATGGGAACTTCAGCGGACCAGATTACAAAGCTGTAAATACACACACTGAAACACAGCTGTACAAATTATTAAAATTATTAATAAACTATGCACACATTTGACAACAATTTAGTACTGAGCAGCAGCAGTATAGCCTGATCATTATGAATATTGATATTACTCATGACAATTTAAAGAAAATGTTAATAAAACAATGTTTAAATCTGATTAAATGTGTGTAAACTATGTTTAAAAAAATCACATAAAGACTTTCTTAAATGTCTGTGTGCCAGTGTGTGCACCTGTTAGCACATGAGAGCATCACATTTTGACTGTTTTCCACCCACCAGACTGACCCCAGCTCATCACTCACAGCCCTCACTGCAGCTCAACCACACAAACACATCACACTACATGCCTTTCACACTACTTTCCATAACCACAGACAAAATGCCCCTTGTTTTTAAGTGAAGTGACAAGTCACAGATAACAATAACTTGAATAAAAAAATAGAGTTGAGAATATTATTATCAGACAGCAATGAAAATAAACTTTACATTTAAACTGAACATTTTTAATGCTTATATATATATATATAAGACGAGAGACATGCAGATCCCTTTGCAAGCTTTATTAGACAGAGACGTAGTCAATAACACAGGCAGGGTCGAAACACCAGCAAACAGGTATGGCACGGGCAAGACACAAGAGTGTTCCAAGGACAGACGTGATCAGACTCCGGCGAACAATATCCAACAGGGCAAGGCAAAGAGAGATAATCCAGGTACGCAGCAATAGTCCAGGCAGGGGCAAACAGAGTCTGAACGGTAAAACAATAGATAATCCAAGGTACACAGGCAGGAATCAGGAAACAGGTAATAGCAAGACTAGACTATGAAAACACGAAATGGCTCCATAAAGCAGTTATCACTAGGAGAGTGATAAACGCAGAACAATACTCAGTGATTAGAGAAGGATTTGCGTGGTTGTTATATAGTGTGTGTGTGATTGGCTGCAGGTGAGTCCAATCAGTGCAATGGAGCATGGGAAATGTAGTCCAGGGTGACGTACAACAGTTTGTGTGGTGTGAGAGTCAATGTAATCAGAAGGTGACCTCTGGTGGCGAGCAGATGGAAGACCACGGACCGGATTTGTGACAGCTGCGAACAGCTGCTGTAAAAAAAAAGGCATATATTTCTGCTGTAGGGCTTTTAAATACTGCAATGATTGCATGCAATGTTACAGACAGGTTCTGATTGCAAACTAAACCTGAATTTGGTGTAGGGTCAAGAGGTCAGATTAAAACAGAAGACAGATGTCCTTCAAACTTTGTATTATCATTGTGTATTAATAGCCTGCCATGCTGAGTGAAACCTCCTGCTGATGGCACTAATAATAATAAACAAGAAGTCAAATTAAAACTGCACTAAATTCAAGACAACAGTATTTCAATTTTGATTTGTTGGCTTTCATAACTTGTTATTCTTCTGTGCAGCAGCTGCATTCTCATATATTGGTGTCTTTTTGATTCAAAACAACAACAACTAAAAAAATGCAACTTTCAAAAGTAGCATTTCCCAGGCCAGACTCATTAATAAATTCAAAATCTTTACTCATGTTTAATAGGATCTGTCACTTATCTGCAGTTCAAAACATGTTACAGGCTCCTGGCCAGCATAAACACTGTAGAAATACTGAAAAAGTTCTGATAATTTTCTGCTAGGACATTATCCGTTTAATTTACAGAAAATGTATTTAACCCTAAAACACAACACAATGCAACATATAATTCAAAGCATGGGTAAA